CACTTATTTCCTGTTTTATGTGGAGTAGGTGTTATTGGCGACTTCCCACAATTTTTTGTGTCTGTGTTAACTTTTGAACTCCTTTGATGCTTTCATTTAAAATAAGTGACTGGTAATAAAAGCTAGAGCTTGAATGAAATATAACTAGGCTTGATTAGTTATTTGCTAGCTTACTCATCTCACATGGTTTTCAAAGATGTGCTTTCCTCCATATTTCTTTTTTCTCACATGTTCTTGGAGTAACACAGTTAAAAGATGTAATGACTGCTTTATTTAAAAGTATCCTTAATTAACACATAATCCTTTTTCTTACATATATTTTCAATTGAATTTTGTTTTATCTGAATTTTACTTTGTTGTAATAAATATGTTGTCTTGATTAATCTCTGTAGTTCACAGTCACAATAATAATAATAATTACATATTCATCTAGGTACAAGAGCTTAGTATTTAAATAATAAAGTTTATTTTCATGTGAGACATATGTAGAGTGTGGTAAGTGTTAGTCACTCAGTCATGTCCAACTCTTTGCAACCCATGAACTGTAGCCTGCTGGGCTCCTCTGTTCATGGAATTCTCCAGGCAGAAATGCTAGAGTGGGTAGCCGGTCCCTTCTCCAGGGGGATCTTCCGGACCCAGGGATCAAACCCAGGGTTCCTGCACTCCAGACAGATCCTTTACTGCTGAGCCACCTAGGAAGCCCAGAGCATGTAAAGGCTGTCATTATACCTTTTTACTAAGTACCTGTCTTTCAGGCAAGAAAGAAAACTGTATAAATCTCATCAGGTTTGGTAATTTTTCAGTTAGAGAATCAGGATAATCTCTCTTTTAACCTTTTAAACTAAGAGGTCTGTCGTCCTGGGATGACAAAATCCAAGCTCTGGTATCTTTTCTTTAGTTCGCTATATCATACTCACGGTAGAATGTGAATGTTAAAAACCTGTAAAAATTATACAAAATTGGTGGGAGTTTTTCCAGTGCTTGAAGGGTGATCTTGTAATATAATAGCTCATTATCCACCTTCCACAGTTTTAGCATAAATGTTTCCACATATAACTCTTTATTCCTTTTCATAACTGTGCAATCTTGTTAGCACAGATTGGTTAATGAATTAACATATATTTTTTTAAAAGTTGTTCCTTAAATCATTAATTGGAAAATTGTCAATGCCCATTGGAATGAAATAGACTTTACCTTGAATGGTCAGTATCTGACCAAGGACAAAGAAATTGCTGTGTTCTATTTCTCTGTCTGACCTTGTTATATTTTCCAAATGAATGGCAGTAGTGAATGGTGTCTTAGTCACTTCCCTTTCTCATGTTATACAGCGTGCTCTGATAATTCCTAGTATGCTTTTCCACTTTGCTTTCCTAAAATTGTAATGTTAGGATTGAACCTGGATTTATTCCAGTTCAATTGTTGTGTTTTGCAAATGAAGAAACTGGAACAGAGATTAAATGAACTGACTGATGTTATTCAGCTACTAGATGCATGTGTGCTATCTCGCAGTCATGTCTGACTTTGCGACCCCAGGGACTGTAGCCTGCCAGACTCCTCTGTCCATGGAATTTTCCAGGCAAGAATACTGGAGTGGGTTGCCAAAATTTTCTCTACCAGGAGATCTTCTCTTGGGTCTCCTGCACTGACAGGTGGATTCATCAGTTCAGTTCAGTTCATTTCAGTCGCTCAGTCGTGTCCGACTCTTTGCGACCCCATGAATCGCAGCATGCCAGGCCTCCCTGTTCACAGCAGAGACTAAAAATCTTGTTTCCACTTTCACCTGACACAAAATCAGTGACAAATAAATATTAGTTAAATCGAACTAACTATTCACTATAGTGAATATATTCACAGTATTCACAAACAAACTTTTCACTATACTATTCTTTGGGTGAGGCACATTTCTGCATTTAATTTTCATAATAACTTGGCCAAGATCACATGGTTAAAATAATGACCTTGATCCTCTCCAGTAAATCTTGTATGGCCTTAAAAGCTGGTCTGCGTTAACAAAAAGATCTGGAAGCCGTGTTTGAAGAGAAAATTTTTCTATTGCTCCAGCAGTTATTTTCTTAAATATTTTTTCCTATACTAATTAACTATTTTCAGAGTTACTGCAGAGGATGACTGTAGCCATGAAATTAACAGACGCTTGCTCCTTGGAAGGAAAGCTATGACCAACCTAGAGAGCATATTAAAAAACAGAGACATTACTTTGCCAACAAAGGTCCGTCTAGTCAAAGCTATGGTTTTTCCAGTAGTCATGTATGGATAAAAGAGTTGGACCATAAAGAAAGCTGAGCACCAAAGAATTGATGCTTTTTAACTGTGGTGTTGTAGAAGACTCTTGAGAGTCCCTTGCACTGCAAGGAGATCAAACCAGTCAATTCTAAAGGAAATCAATCCTGAATATTCAGGGGAAGGACTGATGCTGAAGCTGAAACTTCAATACTTTGGCTACCTGATACGAAAAACTGACTCAATAGAGAAGACCCTGATGCTGGGAAGATTGAAGACAGGAGGAGAAGGGGATGACAGAAGATGAGATGGCTGGATGGCATCACTGACTTGATGGACATGAGTCTGAACAAGTTCTGGGAGTTGGTGATGGACAGAAAAGCCTGGTGTGCTGCAGTCTATGGGGTTGCAAAGAGTCGAACACATCTAAGCAACTGAACTGTACTGATTTTCAGAGTTATGCTTTTCCTCTGAGTCTACAGAGAAATCTTTGCTGTTGTTGTTTAGGTGCTAAGTTGTGTCTGACTCTTTGAAACCCCATGGACTGCAGCATGTCAGACTTCTCTGTCCTTCATTATCTCCCGGAGTTTGCTCAAATTCATATCCACTGAGTCAGTGATGCTACCTAACCATCTCATATTCTGCTGTCCCTTTCTCTTTTTGGCTTCCTTTCCCAGCATCAGGGTCTTTTCCAGTGAGTCAGCTTGTCACATCAGGTGGCCAAAGTATTGGAGCTTCAGCATCAGTCCTTCCAATGAATATTCATGGATGATTTCCTTTAAGATTGACTGGTTTGATCTCCTTGCTGTCCAAGGAACTCTCAAGCATCTTCTCCAGTGCCACAATTCGGAAGCATAAATTCTTCAACACTTAGCCTTCTTTATGGTCCAGCTCTCACATCTGTGAATGCCTATGGGAAAAACCATAACTTTGACTTTTCGGACTTCTGTGGGCAAAGTGATGTTTCTGCTTTTTAATATGCTGTCTAGGTATATGCTTGTCTTATGATATAGAATTTTTCAAAAGCTTTTGATTGGTTCATTTGTTCCTTTAGCTTATCTTCAAATGAGAATAATTCTATCTAGCTTCAGTGTTTGATAAAAGATAGGGGTATAGAACTGGTTGCTAAGCTACCTACTTGGTTGCCATTGGTGTAACAGGTAGGGCCATTGAAAGAGTGTAGCTCCAACACAGTTTCTTGTGTCTAGTAGGAATTTCTGTAGTTTAGCTCTGATCCAATGTGTGGTTGTAATTTACATGATTATAAAAGGATAATTTGTTCTAGTGATTGTAAGGGTGTTTTTATTTTATGACCAAAGTTACATGTAGAAAGCTCCCATTTCTATGGAGAATGCACTGCCTCTTGAGCTCTTTTCATCTGTAGCCTGTTTACTCTGTGAACTTTGCTGCCCTATAACATGTCCCTACCCATCTACCTCTGTTATGCTTTGCTGTGCTTAGTCGCTCAGTCATGTCTGACTCATTGGGATCCCATGGACTGCAGTCTGCCAGGCTCCTCTGTCCATGGGGATTCTGCAGGCAAGAATACTGGAGTGGGTTGCCATGCCCTCCTCCAGGGGATTTTCCCAATCCAGGAATCAAACCCAGGTCTCCCACATTACAGGCGGATTCTTTTACTGACTGAGCCATCCAGGGAAGCCTAAGAATACTGGAGTGGGTAGCCTATCCCTTCTCCAGAGGATCTTCTTGACCCAGGAATCGAACAGGGTCTCCTGCATTGCAGGTGGATTCTTTACCAGCTGGGCTACCAGAGAAGCCCACCTGTACCTCTAGTCTTATTAAGTACTGTAATTTGCAGGTTCTGAATGTATGCACAGTGAGTGGTTGATGTGGACTAGACAAGGGTGGGACTGGTTTTCTGTTAGGCAGGTGGTAAGAGGCAGATAAATTAGATGAGAGAAGAAAATTTCATTGGCTAACAATTCAGAAGTATCTGGACTGTTGTTTAGTTGCTAAGTTGTGTCCTGCTCTTTGCGACCCCATGGACTATAGCCTGCCAGGCTTCTCTATCCATGGAATTTCCTAGGCAAGAATACTGGAGTGGGTTGCCATTTCCTTCTCCAGGTGATCTTCCCAATCCAGGGATTGAACCTGAGTCTCCTGCCCTGGCAGGTGGATTCTTTCCCACTGAGTCACCAGGGAAGCCCATTTGAGCTGTAGGTAATAGAAATACCGTCTCTTGCAGCAGGTTGTTATCCTCAGTTTTCAGTGCTACAAATAAAATTGTCATTATGAGTACTTTAATGGAAAGTTAGGAGACTTCATATCAAAGATTTATTCAGATTATGATATTTAAATTCAGAAGAAACATTTCTTATTTGTTTAAAATTTTCTAGTATGAAATGGAGCAAAACCTTTTGCTTTTATTGGATTATTTATTATTTCCCAATCATGCTAATGAAAGCTAACATTTATTATCTTCCATTTCAGACTTTTGGTTGTATGTATTATAGATTTTATTAAAATAGCTTTGAAAGGAGAGTTTTCGTTTCCTTATTTTTCAGGTAAGAAAGGAGGCTTAAGTGATTTGCCTAAAGTTTCACAGTTAGTAATTAGAAAAACTGAGATTCAAATCCAGGTCAAGCTCCATACATCACGTTCTTTATATTACATGCTTTTGAGAATGTGGTTAAATGATTATTGAAAGCAAATAGTTGTCTAGAACTTACTGCCCTGTGATACGAAAGCTCTTATATTTTAGTTACCTTTGAAAATAATGTGCTTTTAACCTTCTTTTTAAGATGACAGTTCCTGGATTTACCGTCAGTGCCTTCATCCTTCTGTTGCATGTTAATTTTGTGGCTAATTATCCCAGTGGAAAAGTTACAAAGTCATGCCATGGAATGATTCCTGAGCATGGTCATAGCCCACAGTCTCATCCCGCTCACAACATTTCAGTGAGTCAGATGACATTCAGGCCAGGAGAGCAAATCAAAGGTATTGTGCTGGTATTAATTGTTTGCATTTTTCATTTTGCTTTTTTTTTTTATTGTACATTGAAACTTTATTACTGTTGGACTTATATAGTTTCATTTACTCTATCCATCTGCTTTCATAAGATACCATGATGTTATACTTCTCATTTTTGTGTTTAATTACTACTTATGACCATATTACGTAAGCAGTATATTCACTATCCATTCAGACTAGGCTTTTATTTTATTTTATTTTTTGAACACACTACAAAGCTTTCAGAGTCTTAGTTCCTCAACCAAGAATTGAACCCAGCCCAGCAGTGAAAGTGCTGAATGCTAACCTCTGGACCTCCAGGGAATTCTGCAGAATAGGTTTTAAAATATTTTTGTCATTATTTAATATATCTTCATTAACAGTACTATTTACTCAGTAGAAGAGGAAAATAAAGCTTATTTTATCTGGCTTAAGATATTAAACGCTTATCCTACTTAATATTGTATAATTTCTTATGTTTTCCTAATTCTTCTGGCACAAAGTAGGCTGAAACTTAAGGATGTATCTATAACACCATTTTATAAACTCTGTTTTCTGCAACTCTATATTCAGCAAACCCTAAAAAGGAACAAAAGTAAGCACAATCATAATACATAAAAACGTTAGGTCAAGTTAGAAATGCAAAATATTAATAGATACTTTCTAACAAAAAGAGTTTATGGAGAACATAAATTTAGAACACTCTATGTGTTACATGTATTCTGTTTCTTAGAGCTTTGTAGGATATAGTAGGTTGTTAAAACCCTGAGGGATCTGCAGTCAAGACACAAGTGTACTTTTAAGCAACAGTTTTCAAGCTACTTTGGCCCCGTGAACCACACTCTGACCATAACCAGTCTTTTCTTCCGTGTGGAATAGCTATTGAACCTCATGGAATAATGTCCTGGGGAACATGGTTTAGAATTTCTTTGACCATGAGATGATTTCTACTGTTTCCTCTCCTGGCGTAGTTTTGTATATGTAGACCTGCCTTTGTGACATGGTTCCTCTAACAGTCTTTTTGGGGGACGCTGCTAAAGTCTTAACTTACCTTTTTATTTGTTTCTCAGTTACTTTGTCAGGGCCACCGTTTAAAGGCTTTCTCTTGGAAGCACGTGACGCTGAGAATTTGAGTGGCCCTCCTGTTGGCTCCTTCACATTGATTGACAGTCACGTGTCACAGCTCCTGACCTGTGAAGATGTACAGGTTTGTGTTTAGTTTGAAACTGATTTCTATCAGTTTCCATGCGTCTTTTCATTGGAGTGGTGTTTGCAAGATAAACAATGACATTACCTATGTATTGCAGACATCTGAATAGAGTCACAGTGAGCAAAGTTTCCACCTAATTTTCCTACTGGCAATATATTTTTATACATCAACATCCTAGAAAATGTAGGCTCATAGTTTTAAGAGTTTATAGCTTTTGATACTTTATCAAAATATTGTTGCTTACTGTACTGAATTTTGAAGGATGTTGATATTGAAGATAGGGTTCTAGAGTAAAACAGAGGTCTGACTTTTGTAATTAGTTAATTAAATGAACATTTACTATACCAGGAACTTTCCTGCAAGGGATATGGTGATGAACAAGATTTGTTATTTGATGAGTCCAGAGCCTTACACATAAGTAAAGCATATGGACATATGCTATATGACACATAAGCAGAACATATGGATATAAGACAGACACATCAGTAGGCTAGTATGATGACTCAGATTAGAATCATACACAGGGTGGGTGAGAAGCATGGCAGAAATGCCACACTGACTGTAAATGAGTGAGTTTGGAATTGAGTGAGTGGTTTTTAGAAGAGCTGATCTAAGCTAGACCTCAAAGGATGAGTATCCAGATGAATGAAAGCGGGAAACAAGATTGTTCAAAGAAAGAAATTACTAAAAGATAATACTACATATTTGGAGGCAGGAAGTTTTTCTTCTGGTGAATATTCTGCATTCTATTTGTATATATTAATAGAAAACCATAAACTTACAGTATAAATGAAATAATGCTACTTAGTTGCTTTGGTCATGTCCTACTCTGTGCGACCCTGTGGGCTGCAGCCTGCCAGGCTCCCCTGTCCACGGGATTCTCTAGGCAAGAGTACTGGAGTGGGTTACCATGTCCTCCTTCAGGGGATCTTCTGGACCCAGGGATCAAACCCAGGTCTCCTGCACTGCAGGCAAATTCTTTACCACTGAGCCACCAGGAAAGCCCCATATAAATGAAATAATGAGCAGACTCTATACACCGTCAACACATCCAGTAATTGTAAGTCTCTTCAGTTCTTACATTTCAGCTGACTCTAGAGCCAGCTACTAATTTGGTGTCAACCAATCAACATATATTTATTGAGCATCCAAGTCCTTGTGTTTAACAGAATACCAGGGTTGTACGATGATAAATGGTTCTAGTTCCAGCTATATTGAGCTATTGGCTAACTGAATGGTAGTTCTTTTCCATTTTCTTTCAGGGATCAGCTGTAAGTCATAGAAGTCCATCAAAAAAAACTGAAATCAAAGTCTATTGGGATGCTCCAAGCAGTGCCCCCAATCACATAACCTTCCTGTGAGTAGAAAAGTTTGCAATTCTATAACTAGTATAATTGCAATAATGAGAGTCTGCATCATTTTTTATAACTACTGAACATTCGCCAGTATGTCAGAGGTTTGGTATAGTAATGACACCTGTTTACTGATGTAAGTGGTTGTTTTGTTTGTTTTTTCCAGCAGTATATACTGAGTACCTAGCACAGGACCAAGGACCTAATAGACACTTCATGGACATCTGTTGAGTGAATGAAGTGTTGTAGTGCCTTCAAACTAACAAGAGCCATCAGTTAATAACTAGAGTCTGTATGGTGTATGGATGAATACTTTTTAAAGTTTTGTTCCTGTATTAGTATGAGAATATGAAAAAAAGCAGTTCTGAATTTTGAATGACTTTTTTTTTCATTATTACTACTTGCAGATTAGATTGTCAGAAAAGTAAGATCCTGTGTGTTCCTCAGACTTATGAAATTCAGTAGAATTAGAACAGTATTTGTCTCAATCTTACATGCAAGGAGGAAATGGAATGTCATAAAGGGGGATGTCATGAATGTCATTTAAGGGGAGAATTGCTCTCCTATCCTGTCTGTCTTTTCTGCTTCACTTTGTACACAGATCACCAGCACACAGTAATGCAGCTATGCACCTGTGTGTTGAGTGGAATGTGAAAAAGGAGATTTGACCCCAGTTAGAGCTGAGGGTTGCTTGTGCAGCCTCTGTATACCTTCTCTCTGTAGCTTCTTGTTACACATGCCTTTTGGAATAATTTGAATGACCACTGTGATAAGTGTAGTAGTAGTATGTCATGTATATGTCAGGAGTAGAAGTCTGTGCACTTCAGTCCCTGGGTCTGGCATAGCTGCTGTGAATATGCCCAAAGAACAGATAAGACAAGAGAGAGAACAGTCAACGTTCATTTAGCAATGAGGTTGAAGAGAGGCATTAGAGATTTGCCTCCTACAAAATTCTTTTGGGTAGTATAGGCATTGTTGTTTTATTGCACTTTGCTTTATTTGACTTCACAGATAATTTGTTTTTTACGAATTGGTTTGTGGCAGCCCTGCATTAAATGAGTCTATGGGAGCCATTTTCCCAACACACTGGCTCACTTTGTGTCTCTGTGCCACATTTTGTTAATTGTCATAACATCTCGAGCTTTTCCATCAATATTATGTTTGTTATGGTGATCATTGATCAGTGGTCAGTGATCATTGATGTTACTACCATAATTTGCTGAAGCCTCCGATGATGGTTAGTATTTTTTAGCAAGAAGGTATTTTAAAATTGTGGAGAAGGAAATGGCAACCCACTTCAGTATTCTTGCTTAGAGAATCCTGTGGATAGAGGAGCCTGGTGGGCTGCTGTCCATAGGGTCGCACAGAGTCGGACACAACTGAAGCGACTTAGCATGCATGCATGCACTGGAGAAGGAAATGGCAACCCACTCCAGTGTTCTTGCCTGGAGAATCCCAGGGACAGAGGAGCCTGGTGGGCTGCCATCTATGGGGTCTCACAGAGTCGAACACGACTGAAGCGGCTTAGCAGCAGCAGCAGCATTTTAAAATTGAGTTTCCCTGGTGGCTCAGTGGTAAAGAATCTGCCTGCCAATGCAGGAGACATGGGTTTGATCCCTGGGTCAGGAAGATCCCATGGAGAAGGAAATGGCAACCCACTCCAGTATTCTTGCCTAGGAAATCCCATGGACAGAGGAGACTGGTGGGTTAGAGTCGCCAAAGAGTCAGACACAACTTAGCAAATAAAACAACTTTAAAATTAAGGTATAGATGTTGTTTTTTAGATATAGTGCTGTTGCACACTTAATAGACTACAGTGTAGTATAAACACAACTTTTATATGCATTTGGAAACCCCACAATTCTGTGACTCACTTTATCGTAATATGTGCTTTATTGTGATGGTCTGGAACTGAACCCTCAATATATCCAGAAAATACTTGTATTAGGTTGTATGTCCCTAGTTAGTTACCTTTTTTTAGTTTGCTTTATGATGAGCCACAATCATGGTTCCTTCTAATCTCGCTGGTATTGCATTTCAGAGCCACAGTCGTTGAGAAGTACAAAATCTACTGGGTGAAGATTCCCGGTCCTGTGATTTCACAACCAAATGTGCTTCCTTTTACAACACCTGCAGCCACAACAGCACCAATGCCAACGGGACCTTCGGTCTCCCATTTAACCAGATCAGTAAGTAGAGTTTTTATAGTTTCATCAAATACAATCTAAAGGAACAGCTTCCTTAGAAATTGTGGTTCTGTGCTTGAGGTTGTTTGTAAAAGAGTAGCTGTCCTGGGTTTTGGTAGCAGGTTTTTGAATGCCTGGCAGGAAATCAGGAGGGAGTCTTCACTGCATCATTATGACTTATAGGTTAGAATAAGAGGAGTGCAGGACCCTACATGTTCAAGGTGTGATTGTGACATTCACATGTAGTCTATACTAGCAGTGGATATGTTTTCACTTAAAAATAAATCTGAAGCAGCAGGGTTTATTTTCTTTTTAAAAATACAGCCAAATAGCAAACCTGAAGAGGGGGCTTAAAGCTGAAGCTAAATTTAGGTTTCAGCTAAACTGGGAGGGGTGTGGGTTGGGGGGTAGAATCTTGAAACGGTGATATAATTCTTCATTCTTGTTTCAACTAAGGCCAATGAGTACTGCAGAATTCTACAGGTTGAACTCTTGCAAGCTCATCAGCTAGAATTCTATTTAGGCCCTCTGATTCAAAAGAAGTACTGTTAAAAAAACACATCTTGGAAAAGGTTATTCAGGTTTTACTGAAAGCAATTCTGATGAATTAGACTTCTCAATTCAGAAGTGACTATAACAAAAAATGTCTTAAGGAAGGTTATTACAGTTAGAAGAATGAATTTGGGCCTGAATTCTGATTCGTCTAATTTCTGTTTGAGTTTGGACAAATTACTTAAATCTTAAAACTGAGACTAAAGTCTCAGTTTCTTCACCTATAAATGAGAAATAATAATATCTAGTTCTTATAGAATCATATATATTACTGTGAGAACCAAATAGAATGAATATAAGATTTCTGATTGATTTGTACTTAATAGGTATTTAGTAAATATTAGTTCATTTTTTCTCTTCCTTCCACTTTCTTGTCTCTTTATAGCTCTTTTTTCTCATAGGGAAGTCTAAAGCTCCTATGCCCGTATATAGTGTCCTGTTTTGTTTACCTTCTTTTCCACATTATCCAACACGTGATGAGCCATTTGATTACATTATTATGAACTTTTGTTTGACCAAACAATTCGATTTGTTGTTTGCAGTAATTCTCAGTTTGTTTAGTCTCAATGTTTATTTATTTTAAAGTTGCTTTAGGGAATTCCCAGTTTGGATCAGAGCTTCCCAGGAGGAATCTATTAACAATCTAAAAAAAAGATTGTTATCTTTTCTTATATTCATTTAAAAGGCATTAGCTCTTGTTGGAGATTTTTTATTGTATCTCTGTACCAAGTTTATATTCTCCAATTATGGAGAGATTCATTCAGAGTCACAGGATGTTGGCACTTGTAGAGAGCTAGATGGGACCTCAGGGTCCCTGTTGCATATAGATAAAGAGAGCCTGAGAGGTAAGTTCTTTAGCAAACACGATGGAACGACGGAGTAAAGGGGAGAACAGAGACAGGCTAAACCCTTGTTTCCTAGCTTCTAGTGGCTTGTTCTCTCCACTCTACTATACTTTCTCTTTAAGTTACTGTGAAATAATAATCCCAAATTATATATATATATATATAGGCCTCTGCTTGGTTTCTGTTAGTAGTTGGCCTTTTGACCCCAGTTCCTGATACAGAGCTGCTAAATCCCTTGGAATTTCCTGAATGATGGGGTATCTTTTGTTCTAATGAGGTGACTCTTGATGGATATGGGGGCTGGTCCCCCAAAACACTGAGCTGTGATTAGAAGCTTGCTGCTTTCAGCCCACTGACCCCATCCTCCAGAGAAGGGAGAGAGGCTGAAAATTGAGCTAATAATCCTTCATCCCACATGATAGTGGTGGTGGTTTAGTCGGTAAGTTGTGTCCGACTCTTGCGACCCCGTGGACTGTAGCCTGTCAGACTCCTCTGTCCATGAGATTCTCCAGGCAAGAATACTGGAGTGGGTTGCCATCTCCTTCTCCATCCCACATGATGGAGCCTCCATAAAAGTTCCAAAAGTGTAGGTTTCGGAGAGCTCCTGGGTTGCTGACCACGTGGAGGTGTGGGGAGGCTGGTGCCTTAGAGGGGTCATGGAAGCTCTGCGCCTGCCCCTTCCTACATACTTTACTCTATGCATCTCTTCCATCTGGCCATTTGTGGGTTGTTATCCTTTTATAATATACTGGTAATCTAGTAAGTTAACTATTTTCCCAAGTTCTGTGAGCCATCTTTGTAAATTACCTAACTCAAGGAGGAGGTGCTGGGAACCTCCAGTTTATGGCCAGCAATTCAGAAGTACAGGTGGCAACCTGGAGCTTGCGATTGGCATCTGGATGGGCATCTGAAGTGGGTGCAGTCTTGTGGGACTGAACCCTTAGCCTGTGGGATCTGACACCAATTTCAGGTAGATAGTGTCAGAGTAGAGTTGAATTGTAGTACACTAAGTTATGTCTGCAGAGAATTGCAGAATTTCTTATTGTGGAAAACGCCCACACCTGTTTGATGGCCAGAAATATTGGAAGAGTAGAAGAAGAAATGAGTTTTTCTGTACAGTTCCCATTAAATCTAATGACTTAAACTCATGTTTAGCTCCCTTCTGAAATGTGGTGTCACAGTTCATTCTAACTCAGTATGACTGCATGTTTGCTCTGTCAAATTGTAGAGCTGACATTTTTCAATAGTCTTTCTTATTTGCCATACTGAGAAGCTCTGAATTAAATCATCATAGATTGTTTTTGCCTCTTCCCCACTAAATTGTTATTACTCTTATTTGGAGCGGTGGTATATATGGGAGTAATCATTTTTTTTTCTTACATTATTTTAATGTCAAACTTGAACTTGAATTCTAGAGGCAGAGTCCAGGATCTAAATATAAAAACTTGCTAAGGGTTTGTTTGTTTCCTTTTAAAAATTCCATCTCTGAAAGCTAGAGGATATCCTTTAGGCAAGAATGTCAATGTGGACTTAAATATTCCCTAAGAAATTTCTCAATGTTTACTCGAAACTTTGCTCCGGAACATAATTAATGTGAAGTATTCTGTGTATTAAAGGGATCTTAATACTTATGTGTAATTATAGTCCAATTAATGTTGTGTCTTTCAAATTTTAATTAATATTAATTAAATTTAAAAGTTTACAACCTAACTACTGCTTTGATAATTTTTAATTTGGGATGTGGTCTTTTTCCCCTTGTTTGAATCCTTATTATGAAAATGTATTCTTGTTAAAACCCATACTTCAAGGTAGCAGCTCTTCTGTCATTGGAGAATTGCTTGTTTGATAATTAAGAGTCTTTTCCCCCCTGTCATTTTTCTAGTTCAATGCTTCAGACTGTGGGAAGAAGAAGTTCTGCATCAGGAGTCCTTTGAACTGTGACCCAGAGAAGGAGCTTGCCTGTGTCTTCTTGTCTTTCACACGAGATGACCAATCAGTGATGGTTGAAATGAGCGGTCCCAGTAAAGGCTATTTATCCTTGGCATTTTCTCATGACCGATGGATGGTTTGTACCTCTCACTTACATCAGTGGTGATGAATGGAGAGTCACTGGAGTGAGTGATAATCAACAGCAGTTTAGCATTTGTTCCAGAGTCAGATTCTCATACTTTAGGGAGGAATGGGAAGGGAGGTCAGAGAAACTAACTTGGATTCTCAGTTAAACAGTGTTGAGTTGAGCCATTCCATATTAATATCTCTAAGAACAAGGCTGTCCTGAGGAAAGTTAGGAAAAGCATTTTGTTTCCAGTGGATTTGCCACTTTATCTACTTCTATCTCTGTGATAAAGCAGGAAGTGCAGTTAAGAAAAAGTTGCTCTTCATAAAATCTCATGTTGTTTGTGATGCTCTTCAACTCCTAGTTTTCTCAAGTGATTACAGCCTGGACTGCTGCTCTTGTTGCCCCCATTTGGATGGTCATGGCACATTTCTCCAACAGGGAATTAAACCTAGTGTCCCCAGGCCTAAATGGCTTCTTTACCGGGTTTATGAAATTTCTCACTCTCCTTGGGTAGTGCTGAATGGATTGAGATTCTGTAGGTGGCAGCCTTGTGCTGTGGTGTGGAAGAACAGAGTCCTGCATTAGCATTCTGGTTTCCCAGGAGAGGAAGAAGGCTATAAACCAGGACATGTGTCTATCCTGTTTCAGCAGAGCTGACTGTGGAGGGGTTGGCTACAAATGGAGAAAGCCTCTCATTTCCACGTTAACAAATGCAAGGAGTCTTTTCTTGAGAGTTTTCTTCCTGTTAGGTTTTAAACTTAACATCACTAAAAGGAACTCTGATTTCCACATTAACAAATGCAAGGAGTCTTTTTTTTTCTGCAAGGAGTCTTGAGAGTTTTCTTCCTGTTAGATTTTAAACTTATCACTTTTTAAGGAAATCATTATTTTTTTTAAAAAAAGAAAAGGAACTCTGAGATTCTGTGACAGAAGAACAAATATTTTCCTTTAAAGTGCATGCTAATCGCAGTAATCCTTGTTATGCTGGCTGCAAATATTTCAGGGAGCCACATGTGACTTTTTTGAGGGTGGATGACATTGCAATATGTGATATGACCTGTATATTTTAAAATGTAGTTTCACAATGCACTCATTATCTTTTTTCATTCAACACAGGGTATACCTTAAACCTATGAGATAGAAGATATCCCATAGGCTTCTAAAAATACCATAAAAGAAATTGTGACTCTTTTCCTTTTAAAGTTGCTTTTATGGGAAATTTTATACTTGATCAAATGATGTTGCAATTCTTCAAAACATTTCCCCCATTTTTCCTTTTGTAATTACCATTATACTTACAGCATATCCTTTTGTTCTCAATTTTGGCAAAAATGAACCTTATTACTATGGTGCATGAGGAGGCTGGGTTAAAAATAAATGTGACTGTAAAACAATAAGGAAAGATGGTGGTAGTGCCTGTTTATGTGAATGGAACTGGCTTTGAAGGAAACTGAAGAAGAGTCCACCTGGGGTTAACAATGATAGCCTTGTTGGAATAAATGTCGGTTCATTAAGGTGCATGTGTAAGGTAGAGTACACATTTAGATATGTATTCTAGTCACTTAAAAGAATCCTAGCCAAACTCCCTGCAGTAGTACACAAACACGTTTCCTTTTCTGGTCACATAAAATCTGTCAGCCAGAGGAAAGACACTGTTGTTACAGAGAGTGTTGTGATGAGGAGCCTGCAAGTAGAACAATTAATTCTGTTCTAAGTTGTAGGCATAGATGACACAAAAATGTTTACCTCTAATTCAAGATATATTTATCTTACTTAGAAATCTTATGTTTCTAGTATAGTACTCATCAAACATGTTTATAAAAAGATTTAATTATACAGGTGCAGTTAATTTATGGAGCAAGCCTATTTGATGATTAAAATCATCTGTACACCTGTTTGCCTAAATTGGGGGAAATAAATCATCACCAAAAATATTTGTAAAATGGTTGTTTCTATTTTTGATTATTTTTAAATTCTTAGGATATTTTTATGACCTGCGATTTCTTATCAGTATGTCATATAAGTTCAAATACTGAAGGTATCTGATGGTATGAATACTGATTAGATAAGCTAAATTATACCTTTTTTCAATTTGGTTTGTACATTAATGGTAGCAGTTCTGTTTTGCTATTAGACCTCATCACTAAAATTGAAAGTGCAACTTGCCATATTTTTTCTAACAGTATTTGCTAATATCTGAATTTTAACTGAAATTCAGAATATACACATCTCCCTCATCTTAGATATTTTTTTGTTCTCTGAGATAAAGTGTTCAGGTATACACACTGTGTCAGCTGCTGTTCTCTGTCTTCCCCTGCCCAGTGTTGTCTTCTTCTGTACATAATTTCTTTGTGTTTTTTTGTACATAATTTCTTAACACTCGAATTCCAGAATGCTCCCACTGCTGCCTCTCGTGTGTGTCCAGTTTGAAATTTCCAGCTTCTGGGTGGTTACTTCCAGATGAGTGTTCTGGACAATACAGGCCATCTTCTACAGACTGAATTTATTATCTGTCCTTCTAACATCCTTTTGTGTTTCCCATTCTTGGTGATCAACAACAATAGTAAAAAAGTAACTATTATTGATCTCTTGCTTCTTTTCAGATACTGTCTGGGAAACTTATGGACTGACTATCTCAGTCATTGCTGCCACCATCTTCTCTGGTGTTCAAGAAAATGTTGTGACTTAGATTCCTCTCTTTTACTCGCCACTCAGGTTCTTCTTTGACCCACCCTAGCCTTTTGTTTTGAAAGTTTTAAACCTGTGTGAAAGTTGAGAGACTAGTATAAGGAACACCAGTAAACCCTTCACCTGCACTTGTCACTCTCTCTTTCCCTGTGTGTGTGTGTGTGTGTGTGTGTGTGTAGATTAACTTCATCACTGTATATTAACACACATTTTTTTCCCCTGCGCTATTTGAAAATTAAGTTACAGCTATCATGACCTTTTGTGTTTCCTTTTCAGCATGTATCTACTAAGAAGGACATTCTCCTATAATTATCATATCACCATCAAATATATAATATAATAATTTTATTCAATGTAGTGTATATTCAAATTTCCATAATTGTCCCAATAAAGTCATGTGTATATGTGTGTGTATGTGTGTGTATATATTTAAAATCTCTGATCCAGACTAATCAGTTATCACTCAGTGCATTTAATTGTTATATCTCTTTAATCTCCTTTTCTTTAGAATGTTTACCCTACCTTTTTTCTTGATTTTTTTTCTGGCTGGTTGTTTTGTAGAATGCCCTGCAATTTTTACAATAGATTCAGGTTATGATTTTAGACCACATTTGAGGTAACCTCAATCCTAGCCCCCAAAGCATTGGTGAACCTTTAGTAGTTACAGGAAAATATTTTTTTCTTTAACATATTTTCGAAACTTTTCAAAGTCCTTGTTGGTATTTCTGGCCTTGTCCTGTATATGTTTTAGTTTTGTGCTACCTGTTTCCTAAAGTTTCCGTATACTTTTTATATTTCTATATCTTTGGTCCTAGAAGTTCCTCAGTTTGAAAAACCTTTCCCTTAATTGCAGCTCTACCTTAGCCACATGTATTTTTTATTCTCTGAAGCATAGTTAATGCTATATTTTCTGATAAGCCTTTTTTAATCCTTTGACCCTACCTAATTTGTCTTTCTATAGCACGTTGTTTAAATCTCTACTTTATCATATTTCACGTACTGTTTTAATTGTCTCCTCTATTAAAACATAGTCTTTTGATCATAAGAACTATGTTGTCATCTTTTTCCTCTCACTTGGCATTTTCTGGTAGAGTGTACTCTAAATGCTGGAACTGAGAGGAGCAAACGGGTAGGAGGCTCTGTCTGACTGTGTGGTTTGGCTGGAACTTCTCAGGTGTGTTCTACCATGCTCCAAATTTGGGGTTTCTACAGCTGCCTGGAGCATAAGGTTGTCATAGCACCTTCTCTTCCCCTTCACCGTAGAGCCTTGAAAACTGAGAGTTACCTCTCCTTCATCCTCATCACCTCACCAGTATTGGAGAGATTTGCCTTAATGACTTAGTTGATTTCTTACCATCAGTTTGCCTCAAAACCAACCATTTTGCTATATTATATTTTGTTTGAAATAACAAGAAAATTCTATTGTTTCATTGATGATAAACATTCTAGAAAATACACATTGTCTGCTTACATCAGAGATCAGCCAACTTTTTCTGCAGAGGGCTAGATAGCAACCACTTCAGAATCTGTGGGCCTCATGGTCTCTTTGCAAGCTACTCAGCTCTTTTATAGTGCTAAAGCAGCCACAGACTGCTGTGAATTAGTATGTGTGGCCGTGTTCCAGTCAAACTTTATCTGTAGGCACTGAAATTTGGATTTAATGTATTTTCACTTATCATGAAATACCATTCTTAAAAAACCATTTAGATATGTAAACACCATCCTCAGCTTGTGGCCAGTACAAGAACAGGCATCAGGCTAAAGTTAGTCTGTGTGCCATAGTGTGTAGTGATTTAAATTATGACAACTCCAAATTTCTTGAGTTGCGCTAATTCTGATTTGAGTATAAGATGTGTAACAGGGAACTTCTTTGCTAATGTTATGTACTTGAGAGTTAAAACTGGAACTTTTTACAAGAAATTTAAAATTTTTTGTAAATTTTATGAATGTTAGAATATCATAGTGGTATTTTTAACAAGACTTTAATTATAGCTTTAGTCTTGGGTTTTGTTTAAGGAATTCAGTGACAAAAGCTGGTTAAAGACCTTGTTAGATAGTTTATGGAAAACAATTTAGAATAGATGAAATAACCAAAACTATACATAATAACTTAAAATCCATATTATTCATTTGGTGGTGGTAGTGTTGTTTGTCGCTAAGTCAGGTCCAACTCTTTGTGATCCTATGGACTGTAGCCCACCAGTCTCCTCGTACATGGGATTTTCCAGGCAAGAATACTGGAGTGGGTTGCTATTTCATTCTCCAGGGGCTCTTCCTGACCCAGAGATTGAGCCCACGTCTCCTGCATTGGGAGGTGGATTCCTTAACCGCTGAACCACCAGGGAAGCCCTGTCATTCATTTGTACCACAACTTAAATGTGCTTTAAAGATGCAGTCTGCTGTCTGATAATCACTTTAAGTAAGATTTAATTTTTAGAGCTAAGGAATATTGGAGATTAAAGGAGAGATAAGAATTAGACTGATAAAGAATGCTCCCTTGTTGAAATTCCCTTGATCTTTTTTTCATTTGTCATTGTTTTTCAGGGTGATGATGATGCTTATGTGTGTATTCTTGAAGATCAGATTGTCCACATACAACCTTCCCGTTTGACAGGGAGAAGTCACCCTATAATGGATTCTGGGGTAGGTGTGAAGATTCTGGAATGCTCTAACTGGCTGGTCCATCTTCTGGCTATATGGCTGACAGTGCCATGGTTGTGGTGCAAAATAGCTTCCAAACCTGCAGCTAGCAGTAGAGACCAAACAGGGTCCTGGTAGCAGAGTTCCTATCTTATAGTCTGGGAGGAAACCTTTCTGCATTTTATTATATATATGTGTAAATTGTATATATTTAAGGTATATAGCATGATGTTTTTATATCCATCTCCATAGTGAAATGATTGCTAAAATCAGGCTAATAAATATATTCATTGCCTCAGTTACTTTTTAATTTTTTTGTGATGAGAACAGCTGAAATCTACTCTCTTGGCAAATTTCCAGTATACAGTCCAGTAATATAAAGTACAGTCATCATGCCCCTTTTCTATACTTTAGAAAGCACAGGAAAGTTTTCTTTTTTAGCAAAAGATGAATTCTTGTTTGTTTCACTTAAATTCTTTTTTATTGCATCTATTAAAAATATTTTATGATTTGTTAAGAGGGTCAAAGCAGACACATCTTTTCAAAAGCTTGCAGACAAATTTTTAAGAGGTTTATGTTAGTGACACAGTATTTCTTGACTGATGAGAAAGAGGTGGATATATGGTAGGTGCTGGTTTAGTGCCTTGGGCAATTGTCTTAAGTGCCCGATGTTGACATCTGTGCCAAATGTGGCCTATTTCTGGTAGAGAAATGTCATTTTCACATGGCAATTGACAAGCAAATGAGTTCCGAAGGGGCAGTAGCTACCACCTAGTGACATGTTCTCTGCATAACTTTCTTGTGAGGTTAGAGTTTCTCACAAGTTGCATTTTGGCTACTAGTGTATTACTTGCTAAGTATTTCTTTAGTGTTGTTGATTGTATATTAGGGGTCAGATGGAGTTAGTGCATCTGCCAAAGTTTCTAGCCTAGGTAGTAAAAATACTATTTTTGCCAAGTGGGATAAACACAAATAAACTGGGAGAATGTGTTTCTTGTACTCTTCAAAGAGGAAGTGGAAAAACAATGACACTGCAGACAAAACATGCACAGAGGATCTTAGAGAAGGGAAATTGAACAGGTCCAGGATTTTGATCACATTTTATTTTTAGCAAATATTTGGAATGTGCTGAGAAGACCCATTGTGTGTGTTTGTAGGATCCTCTTGAGGACATGGCTTGGAGGTTGGCGGATGGTGTTATGCAGTGTTCTTTCAGAAGAAACATTACCCTTCCTGGGGTTAAGAATAGATTTGATCTAAATGCCAGCTACTACATATTTGTTGCAGATGGTGCAGCTGCTGATGGTAAGTATATTGATAAAAAACTATCTTTTTATGGTTTGTCTCTCATTTTTTTCCTTTCCTTCTTTTTTTGGAGAGACTATGGTAATTGCTCTTTTTTTAAGATATGCATTTGTGAATACAGAGTCATCAAACTCTTTTCCATCTTTGCCTGACAGTTTGACTTTCGTTGACCTTCTAGCTTTGTTTCCCTGGAAACTAGGTAAAGGTAGTGTCGACTATATTATAAGGCAACACAATAAAAGTGATTTCTGGCTGGTAAACTGCATTTGGACCAGGAAAACCTGTAAATACCTGATCAACAGCTGTATCTTTGAGCTTCCTTGGATGTAGTGACTTTGGCACTTGCAGGGCCCCTAAAGGCAGGACTATGTGGGGTTTTTGCCGGAGATACTGGCTCTTGTGGATGACCTGTCCGGTATGAATCTCACCTCCTTGGGCCTGAGCTTTCTCCACGGCGGTAGAGAGGGGTAAAGGGAGTAACTCCGTAACAGCTGAGCAAGCTTCTACAGGACCACCCTTTGAAAAAGGGCGCCTCATGGTGCCCTGCAGGCGTGCTGAGTCTCCTGTCTCAGCCTTCTAAGTCAGTCTGATGCCAGGTGTAGCCCAAGGTAGTTTTATGAGTTTGAATGTTTAGTTTATCTTTAATACAGCCCTGGTAGGTACTGAAACACATATTAAAAAGAATAAATAGATTTTGTTTAAGGTCTTAGCTAATGATATTCTGAAGAATTGCAGGAAATGCCAAGGTAATGTTGTAGTTAGTGATTCATCTCCCAACTTAATATCCCCAAACTTGGAGCATATGGCCTACTCTGAAAGTAGTGAGGCACTGGGCACGTAGACGGGAGGAACGGGGGGAAAGGAGGAGAAGGAACAGAATTGTGGTGTGGGTAAATTGTGAAAAGCCTTGCATAGTCTGTCATGTGGTTTATTTCTTTTTCATTGAAGTACAGTTGATTTACAATGTTGTGTTAGTTTCTAGTGTATAGCCAAGTGGTTCAGATATATATTTGAAACTATATATGTATTTCTGAAAAAAATATTCTTTTTTAGATTCTTCCCACTATAGTTTATTATAAGATATTAAATATGGTTCCCTGTGCTATACAGTTGGACCTTGTTAATTATCTGTTTGGTATATAGTAGTTTATATCTATCATGTTATGCTATTGGTAAAGTAGAGGTTCAAAAGGTTTTAAAGCAGGATAAAATATCTACTCAGTGTTAGAGAAAATTTAGGAGTATTTGCAGGTTTAGTTGTGGGTGATATGTTTGGTTATCTTAGGCAAATCATGTATTCTTACTTGCACCAGCAACAGCAAATGTAGCTTGAAAAAACTTCTTGGTTAAATGATGATAATGGGTAAAATTACTTAGTACTTCATGAAGCCAGTTGTTGACTCAGCACTATCATTAAGGTTTTCATTTTATCTTCTTAAAAACCTACACAAGATATGCATTATTATTATCCCTATTTTGCCTGGAGGGAGACAGGCTTCGAGAGGTTAGGTCATTTGCCCAGACAACAGTGGAGTTGGAATATGAACCTAAACTCTTTGAGCTCACAGCCTCAGTGTTCAATACCTTCTAACATGGGAAATGTAGGAAATGAATTTTTAATGAGAAAAAACCTCAAATATTTGCATTTTAAAACACATTACTAAAGTGCAGTTAATTGTATTATTGTTATCTGCAGCTGTCACTTACTATAAATTTTATGTATTTCATTATTTCTTACAGAAGTTTTTTTTTTTTTAAACTACGCAGTTTAAGAAATGCAATTTATTCAAACTTTCTTTTAAGGTTTCTATGTTATTTAAAAAAAAATTTCTTTCTTTATTTATTGACTGTGCCGGGTCTTCCTTGCTGCGTGGGCTTTTCTCTAGCTGTGATGCGCGGGGCTCCTCTCCAGTTGCGCTATGCAGGGTTCTCCTTGTGGTGCCTTCTCGTGTTGCAGAGCCTGGGGTCAAGGGTGTGCAGGCTTCAGTAGCTGCAGTGCAAGGGCTCCGTAGTCGTGGTTCCTGGGCTCTAAAGCACAGGCCCAATAGTTGTGGTGCACAGGCTCAATTGCCCTGCAGCATGTGAAATCTGGGATTGAAGTCTGCATTGGCAAGTGGGTTCTTTACCACTGAGCCACCAGGGAAGCCCTCACAGAGATCTTATGAATAGATATTATATTGCCCGTTTGTAGAGTTAAGAGAACTAGAACCTAGAAAGGTGAAGCAACTTGTTCAAAATCACACAAGTAGCAGACTCAGGAGTTAAACTCAAGTTGATTCCAATTACAAATGGTGTGACCTTTTCATCATATCCAGCTACTTCCGGTGCCCAGATTGTCATAGGTACTCCAAGAATGATTATCGACTTGCATGGATGACTTAAATTTCTAGGAGATTTAACAGTTTGCATTTATACTTTTAAAAAGTTCATACTTTAAAAGAAAAAGTGTCATTTATCTTAAAAAATTTATTTATTTTTTCCATTTATTTTTATTAGTTGGAGGCTAATTACTTTACAATATTGTAGTGGTTTTTGCCATACATTGACATGAATCAGCCATGGATTTACATGTGTTCCCCATCCCGATCCCCCCTCCCACCTCCTTCTCTACCTGATCCCTCTGGGTCTTCCCAGTGCACCAGGCCTGAGCACTTGTCTCGTGAATCCAGCCTGGGCTGGTGATCTGTTTCACCCTTGATAATATACATGTTTTGATGCTGTTCTCTCGAAACATCCCACCCTCACCTTCTCCCACAGAGTGCAAAATTCTGTTCTGTACATCTGTGTCTCTTTTTCTGTTTTGCATATAGGGTTATTGTTACCATCTTTTAAATTCCCTATATATGCGTTAGTATACTGTATTGGTCTTTATCTTTCTGGCTTACTTCACTCTGTATAATGGGCTCCAGTTTCATCCATCTCATTAGAACTGATTCAAAGGAATTCTTTTAATGGCTGAGTAATATTCCATAGTGTATGGAATGTACACTATGTACATTCCACATGTAGCTATGTACCACAGCTTCCTTATCCATTTGTCTGCTGATGGGCATCTAGGTTGCTTCCATGTCCTGGCTATTATAAACAGTGCTGCGATGAACATTGGGGTGCACGTGTCTCTTTCAGATCTGGTTTTCTCGGTGTGTATGCCCAGAAGTGGGATTGCTGGGTCATATAGCAGTTCTATTTCCAGTTTTTTAAGAAATCTCCACACTGTTTTCCATAGCGGCTATACTAGTTTGCATTCCCACCAACAGTGTAAGAGGGTTCCCTTTTCTCCACACCCTCTCCAGCATTTATTGCTTGTAGACTTTTGGATAGAAGCCATCCTGACTGGTGTGTAATGGTACCTCATTGTGGTTTTGATTTGCATTTTTCTGATAATGAGTGATGTTAAGCATCTTTTCATGTGTTTGTTAGCCATCTGTATGTCTTCTTTGGAGAAATGTCTGTTTAGTTCTTTGGCCCATTTTTTGATTGGGTCATTTATTTTTCTGGAATTGAGCTGCAGGAGTTGCTTGTATATTTTTGAGATTAATCCTTTGTCTGTTGCTTCGTTTGCTATTATTTTCTCCCAATCTGAGGGCTGTCTTTTCACCTTGCATATAGTTTCCTTTGTTGTGCAAAAGCTTTTAAGTTTCATTAGGTCCCATTTATTTATTTTTGCTTTTGTTTCCAATATTCTGGGATGTGGGTCATAGAGGATCCTGCTGTGATTTATGTCAGAGAATGTTTTGTCTATGTTCTCCTCTAGGAGTTTTATAAAAAATATGGAATGCTTCACGAATTTGCGTGTCATCCTTGCACAGGGGCCATGCTAATCTTCTCTGTAGCGTTCCAATTTTAGTATATGTGCTGCCGAAGCGATCACTAAAAATTTATTTATTTTTAATTGAAGAATAATTGCTTTACAATATTGTGTTGGTTTCTGCCATACATCAGCATGAATCAGCAATAGGTATACATATTTGCCCTTCCTCTTGAATCTTCTCCCACCTCTTTAGGTTGTAACAGAGCACCACTTTGAACTTCCTGAGTCATACGACTAATTCTCACTGGCTATTTTACATATGGTAGTGTATATGTGTCCTTGCTACTCTCTCCATTTGTCCCACCCTCTCTTTCCTCCCTGCATCCTCTGTGTCCATAAGTCTGTTCCCTATGTCTGCATCTCCATTGTTGCCCTGCAAATAGATTCATCAGTACCATCTTTCTAGATTTCATGTATATGCATTAATGTATGATATATGTTTATCTCTTTCTGACTTACTTCACTCTGTATAATAGGTTCTAAGTTCATTCACCTCATTAGAACTGACTCAAATGCATTCCTTTTTATGGCTGTGTAATACTCCATTGTACACATGTACCACAGTGTCATTTAAATTGGTGAATTCCATTGTACTATAAGTTATGTGTGTTTTGGGGTGTATGGTGATGACAACTGTTTCTTCTTAGGCCAGCATTGTAGAAATTAGAATGCATTTTCTTATAGAAACAGTATTTTAATTAATTAGTATTTTCCTGGAAAAACTGAGTTTGTGAATAATACATGTGCAGAATAGAGCATTGTTTTATCTCCCTCTTCTGCTGGTGTTGCTACGCTCATGGCATGGTAGGGAGAGACTCTATCATATTTTGTGGTATATTCCAAAGTGTGGGGATCAAATGACCTGCTTCAGAACCACCTGGAATGACTGCTGAAATGCACATTCCTGAGCTCCATCCCAGACTCAATGAATCTCTGTTGTTTATGCTTGGAATCTGCATTTTAACAAGCATTTCAGGTGATTGTTCTGTATACTGTGGTTTGATAACTTAGTGCTTTAGGACAGTGTTCTTCCAACAAAGATGTACATATTGTAAGATAGTCCAGGGGATACAGAAAACAATGCTAGAACTTTCTATTTAGATTTATTTTATCTCATTAAAATTTCTATTTTAATAGTGTTCACAATGTATTAAAACAATAGTACATGAAGATGTTTATTAACAAACAT